GGGATTGGGAACATCCAGAGGGATTGGGAACATCCAGAGGGATTGGGGACATCTATGGGGATTGGGAACATCCATGGGGATTGGGAACATCCAGAGGGATTGGGAACATCCAGAGGGATTGGGAACATCCATGGGGATTGGGGACATCCATAGGGATTGGGAACATCCATGGGGATTGGGAACATCCACGGGGATTGGGAACATCCACGGGGATTGGGAACATCCATGGGGATTGGGGACATCCATGGGGATTGGGAACATCCATGGGGATTGGGGACATCCACGGGGATTGGGAACATCCATGGGGATTGGGGACATCCATGGGGATTGGGGACATCCATGGGGATTGGGAACATCCATGGGGAACTGGGAACATCCATGGGGATTGGGGACATCCACGGGGATTGGGAACATCCATAGGGATTGGGGACATCCATGGGGATTGGGGACATCCAGAGGGAAGTGGGAACATCCATGGGGATTGGGAACATCCACAGGGATTGGGAACATCCACAGGGATTGGGAACATACACGGGGATTGGGAACATCCATGGGGATTGGGGACATCCATGGGGATTGGGGACATCCATGGGGATTGGGGACATCCATGGGGATTGGGAACATCCATGGGGATTGGGGACATCCATGGGGATTGGGAACATCCATGGGGATTGGGAACATCCATAGGGATTGGGAACATCCACAGGGGTTGGGAACATCCAGAGGGATTGGGAACATACACGGGGATTGGGAACATCCATGGGGATTGGGGACATCCATGGGGATTGGGGACATCCAGAGGGATTGGGAACATCCATGGGGGTTGGGAACATCCACGGGGATTGGGAACATCCACAGGGATTGGGAACATCCACAGGGATTGGGAACATACACGGGGATTGGGAACATCCATGGGGATTGGGGACATCCATGGGGATTGGGAACATCCACAGGGATTGGGAACATACACGGGGATTGGGAACATCCATGGGGATTGGGAACATCCATGGGGATTGGGAACATCCACAGGGGTTGGGAACATCCACAGGGGTTGGGAACATCCACAGGGGTTGGGAACATCCATGGGGATTGGGAACATCCATGGGGATTGGGAACATCCATGGGGATTGGGAACATCCACGGGGATTGGGAACATCCACGGGGATTGGGAACATCCATAGGGATTGGGGACATCCACGGGGATTGGGAACATCCACGGGGATTGGGAACATCCACGGGGATTGGGAACATCCACAGGGATTGGGAACATCCACAGGGATTGGGAACATCCATGGGGATTGGGAACATCCACGGGGATTGGGAACATCCATGGGGATTGGGAACATCCACAGGGATTGGGAACATCCATGGGGAAGTGGGGAAGTTCATAGGGAATTGGGAAAATCCATAGGGAAGTGGGAAAATCCACAGGAGATTGATCCCAGAGCAGCCAGGGCTGGGTGATTCCAGCAGGGAAGGGATGAGGGGTTTGGGGATATTCCCA